GGACTCTCCAAATTGTCTTTTTACATAAGAGATGCTTTTCTATAGTCCATCTATCATGGATTTTGCATTTCCGGTGTTATTAGGCACTCAGATCCTCTCAGGGTGAGCCCTCTATCTTCCTCTAATTCTAGGATATTGCTGGTTTTTAATTTTTCGGGTCTTTTCTCTCCAATCATTTATCCCTCCCCTTCTAGGGCTCTTAGTCTTTGAATGCAATACTTTTGCATTGACTTTTTCAGCACTCTGGATGTTTTCTTACTACTTCCGACTCTTTATCCCTTCACAAGGATCTCCAGGTTAGTTGACCAGCAGATCCATCTTTGGCGCCATCCATTGGGCCAGTCACCTCACCTACCAAGTGCTTCATTTCTGATTCACTAATTGATCTTATCTGCTGTCAGTTGTTCAGTTGTGCTTTCTCTCCTGGTGTTTGCTCCCCTTGGGTGTCTCCTTTTCTTACCCTGGGAGATTATTTCCTGTGGACATCAGCAGTTTGGGGATGAGTCTCAGAGTGGGGAGCAAAAGCCAGGTATTAGCTGGCATCTGTCCTGGTGCGTCAGGGGAGGGCTGTACCTGCAGGAGCTCCAGGCAGCAGAGACAGCCACGCTGCAGATGTGTTTTATCACGAGCACTCACTTGCTGGGGGAAATTCACAAGGCTTCTACTTCAGGGCCATATCAAACACTGCTACAGTGAATATTTTGGTACAAATATCCTTGTGTACTTTGTGCAAGTATTTCTGTAACATATTTCTAGAAGTCTAACTGATGAAGCAAAAGGAATGCCAACTTAATTTCCATAGATGCCAAATTCACTGCCCCCAAAGGGCTGTATCCCTCTCCACTGCTGCCAACAGTGTGTGAGAGCATCTGTATCTGTTTGAGCTCCAAGGGGTCCTATCAGACTTTTTACTCTCTGCACATGAACTTTTGAAACAGACTTCCAGCCCCTCCTGGAAAGCAAGTCTAGCATGTAAAAGGCCACAGCAGGTTTCAGCTTGTCCATATAACCCTGACACTGCCAAACAAAAGGCCGCTCTTGTCCACAGGGGAAATAAATGGCCAGCCTGGATTACAGAGCGGTCCTTTCATTCACTCCAAACATGTTTATCAAGAGGAGAACTGAGAAAGCTCTGATGGCACCTGGCAGAGCTGCTAGGCAGTGGCCCATTTTGTTATTTATCTGAGGACGCTCTAAATACATCAATGGTCAGGTTACAGTAGGACTCATGCATGACAGTCCACTGGAAGGGACATCATCCATGAAGAGCAAAAATCCAGTCAACTTTCACAATCCAAGGACCTTTTTTCTTCATCAGCTACCAAGAATGCTGTCAGGGAGTCACCCGTAAATTGCCTATGGTGTGTAGAAGTCCCCCTCCAATGTCAGGCTTTCCCAGTACTTAATGGACAAGTCTTAATGGACAGGTACCACTGCTTAATAGTCGGGCACTCTTGCTGTGGAGAAAAGAGCAACTTAGACTTGGAGATCACTTTAAAACAGGGCAACTGCACGAAACAGGAAAGTGCTGAAATTAGGCCTTTGAAGTACAATAGGCATTAAAAGGAGAAATGGAGATTAGGTCTTATGTGCTCAGGGAAATGTTTCTCAGGAGCTGGCACTTGAGACAGCAGAAGGCCCAGGAGGAGTGGTTGAATGAATGAAGGTGATCTTAGAAATGAATGAGATTGATGAAACTACAGAGGGAAACCTTCCAACCCAAGTGGTGAGCACTCCTCTGCGCAGATAGTAACTGTCACATGGTAAGAGGGATGAGTTCACAGCTGCTGTTTGTGGAAATGCATGCATTGATTTGAGACTCATCACTTCCTTGGAAAGCAGATCTTCAAGCTGCCTTTTACCAGATGACAAAACTAGATTCTGAGAAAGACATGGATTTGTTATTCAACAAATAAAATGGGAGAGCTGGGATTTGAAACCAGGGCTGTTTTGCCAGATGGGGTGGTGAGCCCCTGTAATCCCAGCTACTCAGGAGACTGGGGCAGGAGGATCACAAGCTGGAGGCCAGACCAGGCAACTTAGCAAAAAGGGCTGGGAATGCAAATCAGTGGTACAGTGCTCCTGGGTTCAATCCCAGATATATAGATTTTTTTAAAAAGATATATAGATATATTTCCTAGATTCAGGGAGATTATATAGAAACCAGGTTATACCCAGAAACTCAACTATACTTGGATTAAACAATGAGGAAGTTTATTTGTCATGGACATACTAGCCATAACAACAACAAAATAGCACCACAGACGACCTTTATTGAGCATTTACTATGTGCTAAACATAAGCATTATTTCCTTTGTTGCTTTTATCAACTCTATGGGATAAACCTTTTACTTCCATTGCATAGGCAACAACATGGAAGCTTAGACAGAGTCTAAGGGCAGGATTTCAATCCTGATAGGGCAGGATTTGAACCCAGAGTTTCTGACTCTAAGTTTAGTACTTGTAATCGCGGTGTGGGGCTAGCTGGATATATGTGCAAATGTGCCTTCCATTTGTTCTATATTGGAAGGCAGTCTTTCCTGTGATTCAAAATACATCTCCCAAGCATTCTTTCTCCTTTCTTTGTAGCCCTGTTCACCGCCTACCTTGGAGGCAGCCTGACACACCTGATGGCTAAGGTGAGTTTGCTTCAGTATCTCTGTCCCGAGTATGATTGATCAGCTTTGAATTACATGGAAAACCCTTCTGAAGTCCACCTGGGCAGCATCCAGTGACAGGATCCATGACTGTGATGCCCATTATTCCTCACTCCTCCTCCTTCTGGAGCTTCTGGGTCACTCTCACCTCCAATATCACAGTAAACTTTAGTCCAAACTGCAATCACCAGGCATGTTACAAATATCAGATTGCATGGTTTAAAGAGTAACTTTAACAATACTTTATCAATAACTGAATAACATTTTATCAAGTTCATAGTCTGTGTCAAGAAGTTGACCTTAGAGTACCTTTTACTCAAACAGAAAGCCAGAACTATATAATAATTGAGAAATCAGGAAAGGGGAAGAAAGATAACTGACTAAAAACCCAGATGTTATTATTGTCGTTTTAAATCCAGTCAATAGTGTTTTGTGGTTTGTTTTTGTTTTGTTTTGTTTGGGGGGAGGTGAGGAGTACTGGGGATTAAACTCAGGGGCACTTGACCACTGAGCCACATCCCAGATCTATTTTGTATTTTATTTAGATACAGGGTCTCACTGAGTTGCCTAGTGCCTTGCTTTTGCTGAGGCTGGCTTTGAGCTCATGATCCTCCTGCCTCTGCCTCCTGAGCCACTGGGATTACAAGCATGTGCTACTACATCTGGAAATAATTTTGTTTTGTTTTTTTACTTCTGGTCTTTATTAAATCCTTCATCTGTTGTCAAATAAGACTTCTAAGGCATGGCTCCTGGACAAATTATTCAATAGGCACAATCTTTCCCATTAACTGTCTCTTGCCACTCTTTCTCTTTGTAGAACTGTCCTCCTGTCCTTTGACCTTCTCTTGTCCCTCACTCAAGGAGCTCAGTCTCTCCTGTTTTGAGAGAATCCTCCACCTCCGAATGCCTGAACTTTCTTCTCAGCCTCATCCACCACTGCAGGATAAAAAGGGCCAGTTGCTGTCGGCCTCGTCCATGTTGATGTGTTCGTGGCTGCTAATGGGTCAAGATAGTACCTGGCTCTCTCAGTACTAGTATAGAGAGTTTATCTGGGAGGGTCTTTATGGAGACATAGCATCTTTAAAATGAGAAGCCAAATTCCCATATAGGATGAGAAGTATATCCAAGTCTCATGGAGTTCTTTGCATTCCAACAAAAAAAAATTTACAGGTGCCAGTCCATAGGCTATATTGAACAAACTGCTGAATTCATTATGAGATTTTGGAAAGTACAGATCCTTAGGCCCAGTCCCTCATCTTTCTGATTGAGTGGATCTTGTGTGATACTTGGGCATCTGTTTTTTTGAACTCCCCCAGATGATTCTGATGTGCAGTCAGATTATACTCCATCACACTCCACAGGGCATATGCATAGGACTAGAGCTAACCAGTGGGTATGCTCAGAACTGAGTGAGTCACCATGGTCAGCACAGAAGGACCTACCCTAAGAAACTGAAGAGTCTATTTGGGAGACAAAATTCAAAGAAGTGAAACAAGTGGAGTCCAGGACCTAGACTGAGTGAAAGTCAAAGTAAATGGTCACCATGGACTTGACCATTCAGAGGAAGTCTTTAGCAATGCACTAAGTGTCTTTTCCATGTACCAGGTGTCCACATCTGGTGTGGGAATTCTGGATGTATGAGAAGTAAGGAAAGAAAAAATAGAGGCCTAACTGACTATCCTAAAGGACACATGAAGAGACTTCCATTGTTAAACCCCTGAGATCTTAGGCTAGACCTTCTTGGGCATAAGCGGAATCCAGAGCAATGCCCCTGGTACCCCCGGCCCTGCCAGGGTGAAAGTATAGAGTGGTGTTGTGTGGATTAGCTTTCCAAGGGGATCTCAAAGGAATATGTGGCTTCTCTCTTTTCCCAGGTTGGATTGCCGGCTGGTACCTGGTCCTTCTGTTTGGCTACACTTCTGTTCCTCCTGCTGACCACAAAAAACTCCGGCATCTACAGGATGCCACTCAGTAAAGTCACTTATCCTGAAGAGAACCGCATCTTCTATCTACAGAGCAAGAGAAGGATGGTTGAGAGCCCTTTGTGAGAGCGACCCCACCCACAGCCATGGTCACGAGTCATTTCTTATGTTCCCATTGACTTACAGAGTCTCAGCAACTGTGGTTTTCTACTGGACAACTTCATACTGACTGTTAGCAATCTGTTCTTTTGTTCACTTTGCATTTTGCTTTTTGACTCCAGGAATATCCTGAGACATGAGGACCACGTCCAGGTGACATGCTCTAGTGTGGAATTTGAAACCCCAATGAGAGTTGGCGCTAAGACTGTAATGTATTTATAAAGTCAAATGCTTCGATAGAAAGACCTAGTGAACACAGAGCTAACTATTGATATTTATTGATATTCTTGGTGCTTAGTTGGCCAGATCATTTTATCAGTATTAAAAATTATGCTTTATAAACCAACTAAGCCTTAAGGAATTCACAAAATTGAAGTTCAATCCAGAATTCTCAGATAAGCAGTATGGTTTTTTAAAATTAATGCAAGTTACATGTTGCAGTTTTGATTGACATCACAAGGGTGCAGATAGGGTGTGGGTAAGTTCTCCAATTCCTCAGCAGAATGGCCTCCACGCTCTCCAGTGTGTGTGTCACATACATTTATAGGAGATGGTTGAGTTTCTTCATGGTGACAGAACTGTAGAAGGGGAAAAGGGATTTTATCAAAATTATTCTGAATTGCCACTTTTCTTGGAGATTGTGAAGGATGTTTTAGGTAGTTCATTATGCTTTCTATAAGAAATAATTTCTTTCCAACATAAAATAAGAGAAGTTCCTGACTTCATCAATCCCTAGGCATTAAAGAAAAATGTACATATTTATAAACTACTCAGCATAGGTATTTATAAAATGCTCAGCATACTGTACTGTAATCCCTCCTTTGATCTTACAAATACACAGAATCATCATGAAACTCCAGAGCCCTTTAAATTCACATTTTTAATTCATTTGAGGATGTCTTTAAAGACTGGATGTTAAAGTGAGTTTGCTTATAGATCTTATTTTTAGAAGTTGTTGAATTTCTTTTACAAAATCATTCTTTTCTGCACCTTCGTAATATTATCTCTCAGAAATGAATGATATTTGAACTACCCAAAGAAATACAGGTGAGGAATTCTTCTCTTTTGCTTTTCTAATTTAAAAGCTACAAGTTCTGTAAAGGTTCTATGGCTAACTGTGCTGAAGAGTGAGAGGAAAGTGAGCTCATCACTGCCACCTCTACTCCCTTCAGCTTTGTATTTTGGGGGGTGAAAAATTGAGACTTTGGAAGTCTCAAGATTTTTCCCTCTTTCAGTCGTCAGTGCTCAGTACAGGATACAGTTTTGCTGGATGGATAAACAAGTAGGGCAGTAAGTAACCCTCCAAGATTTTAGAGAGAAATTCACTTCTTCCTTTTCTTAGGAAAGCAAACAAGCAAACACTATTTCAATTCTAACACCTGGTGACCAAAACCTTTTGAAACTATAAATTTGTAGCTGTCATAAATGTAATTAAAAAGTTGAATTTTCAGTGTTGGGACTAATATCTCTCTTGTTAGAGAATTTGCAAAATAAGAATTGAGAGAAAGCAAAACTAAGCATAACCAGAAATTCCCAGCAGTGAAGAGTCCAGGCACAGCAAAGAAAACCAGACGCCCCTAAAATAGACCCAAGGTGACCTTCAGAACAGAGCTTTGATGTGCTCATGGAGCATGTTCTCCCCATGCACTCACACAGATCTGCCAATAGGAGCATTTTAAAGCCTTGTACATTGCCTTATTTAAATGATATTTTCTCAAGCTATTTTTGTTACTAAGTATTATCCTAAAATTAAATGAGAATTCTTAGGGAGCATTTATATTTTTTTCTGTTATCTGTATAACAAATTTCTATGTAAGTATTTTAATAAATTATATTCATAGCTCAGCTTTGTATAATGTGTCTTTGTAGCTATTTTGGATATGAACAGTTGCATACATAAGTATGTACAGCTCATACATTCTGACATGCTAGAGCCCTTTTTCCTCTCTTGGTACTAGCACCAGATGTGTAGTTGGGCAAACCCTGTTCAACTTTCAGATTGACAGACCTAATTCTCTTGGATGTCCTCTTAACCATCCATTGTTCTCCCAGATCAAGGATGAGGATGAGCTCCTGAGGACATTTATAGATGTTCAGGACATGCCCCTAATGCTGTGAGTGAGATCCATGTCTTAAGGGCCAACTTCCATGCAGTCCCACAGTTCCAGGCACCTCCATCAGAGCCAGCCCTGGGCGTGGCATGCCTCAGGGGTCAGCTCTCTAGGACAACCCTCTTCTTAGAATGTTATATCTGAAGCCATGGCATGCTTGTCTCTGCCACCTCCTTTCACCCTGAAAGAAAACATGGTGCAATGTAAATGCACTTCAATGAGTCTCACTGAGGAGTTCCAAAGAAGCCCAAACAGGAAACAGACAGCCATCATGGGATGCCCCATGGAATGATCCTCTGTAACAACAAACCCTCTCCTGCCTACTGTTCCAGAAAAATACATTTACCAGCATAATCCATCCAAAAGATAGCCCCTTTCATGTGAGAAAGAAAAGATTGGGGGGTTTGAGTCTCCAAACATCATATCTTTATGAGCTATAGGTGCTAATTTGCATGTTACCCACTATTATGGTGGGATATACCCCCAAAGTCAATAAGTCATAAACTTAATCCCCAACAAAACAGTGTCAAGTGGCTTTACGAGGTGATTATATCGTTAGGGTGATTAGATCATGAGAGTTCTGGCCACATGAATGGCTTAATGCCCTTACCATGGGAATGGGCTAGTTATCACAGGAGTACAGGAGTGTGTTCTTTCTCTGCCCACACACACATCTCCTCTCCCTTTGTCCCATGGATTATACAGCAAGAAGGCCTTCACCAGATGCTGGCACTATGATATTGGATTTCCCAACATTAAGAACTCTGGTATTCTGGCAGCACAAAATAGACTAAGACTCCCATGATACCTGACTAGCATGGAATAGGCCAAGATTGCATGGGGGCTTCTTACAGACAATCTGTGAGAATGTTTCTGTGGTGAGTAAATATAGAACAAAGTCTTATGCACAGGAATGTTTTCAACTTCCCCCCTTATCTAACAAGTTCCTTCCAAAGGCTTTGATCTTGAGAGTCTCATCTCCTTATTGAGCTTGTGTTGACAAAACCATTCCACCAGAAACCATTATAAGGACTAGTAGTGTCAGGGCTGCAAACTTTCATTTGTTAAAAAAAATCAGCAAGGCTGATCCTGAAGGAACTTAAGGGTTAATAAATATAGCAAATAGAGTTGGGGTTGAGGCTCAGCAGTAGAGCACTTGCCTAGCACATGTGAGCCACTGGGTTCAATCCTCAACACCACATAAAATAAATAAATAAAATAAAGGTATTGTGTCTATATACAACTAAAACTATTTTAAAAAAATAAAAATAACAAATACAGCAAATAATAGGCTTTTAAAAAAAGGAGTATATATATAACATGCTTTTGCAGCTCTTAAACTTTAAAACAAGTGCAGTAGGGTCATAGAAAACATACATGAAGCCACCTAAAAGAAAAGACTCCTCTCAGAACTGACCTAAGCTTATGTAGCATTAATGTGATTGGTGCTAACATTTAAAGCAAGCTTATGTCTTTCTGATGGGGTAGCAAGTCAAACACTAAAGCTTAGGGGAAAGAGGCAGACAGGAAGGGGTCTTCACACTGGAGTGGGAAGCAGGAACAGGTATTAAGGGAGACGCTTTGGTGGACATGGGTGCACTGTGTATTAGGACTTAGTAAATGAAGCCATGCTTAGATCAAGCAGCTAATGGCCTTTATCTGATCCTGTACCCACAAGCTATTTGCCTTCCTGTGTATATATAGTTTCTGATCCTTGATAGATACATTTTTCATTTTAATAATTCTCTTCCTTGATAGTCCCCATTCATTCATTCATTCATATGTGTTAAATGACTAATTATTAAATAATATTAATGAGAGTTACACTAGTGAATCATTAAGTCACAGTCTCTGTCCTCAAAGGAACTTTATGAGGTGCACTGACAAGTAAAAGTACTAGTGTGATGAAGAGGATGGGCAAGACAGCCAGGCAACAAAGGTGAAGGAAGAGTATTCCAGTGACCTTAAAGAAGCAGAAGACAAGATACAACATTAAATACCAGGCACCCATGCAGTTAGAATGCTTTGGGCTTCAAGCAACAGAATCCCTGATTAAAGGTAGTTCAGACAATAGGAATTTTGTTCCTAGAAGTAGGAAAGTTCCAGGTTTAATGTAGTTTCTCAACTACGTCATCAAGGGTAAAATCTTTTTCCCTCCTCTTCATCATTCTAAGCATCCATATAAGTCTCCACTTTCATACTTGGGCCTATTGCTTTGAAATGTCAAAATAGTTGCTCTGGTTGCAAACATCACAACCACATCAAGAAGAAGAGAGCAACCAGAGTTGCAAGAGAGTTAAAGAGATTTATTCTCTCATGTCTCTGTCTCTTCCCTCTCCTCCCCTCTCTCTTAAACAGCAAGAGAAGTCTTTCCCAGAAGCTCCTTCAAAATACTTAGGCCTTTCTGGCACATCTGGGTCTTAAAGCTACTCCTAGCTGCAAAAGAGTCTGGAAACGCATGCATGTGGTATTGTCATGTTCTGCTGTAACAGGTGAGCTCTTCCATATTGGAACAAAAGCAGGAGGAGTGGCTATTAACAGACTGCTAATATGTCTTGCACAGTGATCTAGAGCATACACAGTATATAGAACCACCACACATATAATACCTATTTGCCCACACTGGAGACAGCCATGTGGCAACAGGCAAGACTGTATCTTATGGGGTTCACAAAGGGGATTGAGACAGAGATCTACACCAAGACCTTTAACACAGAGATGGTTTGTGGAATACTTGCTGGAATACTCCTGGAGTACTTTAGGATGTCCCAGCCTCACATAAAGTTGTGTAGCTTCTGACTAACAAGATCCTAAGCAAAAGAGGAACTTTCCTACTTCTAGTGATAATGATCAGGTGAGGAAAGCTTAGGGTCAATTCATGTTCTAATTTATTATCTCGAGCTAACAGTTGAAGCTTCTAAATCATTCCATATTTGAGATGCTGTTGGAAATAGTTGTGTTTTGATTCAGTTTCAACTCAATGAAGCACTAAAAACAAGTGTCCGACATTTTCTGGTTCATGGTTTCAGATAAACAATGAGAAATCCAGTTTCCTGTTTGGGTTGGGTCCATTGGATTGCAGCCCATTGAAGCTTTGAATTATACTGCAGTGGCAGGCAAGGACTTGAAAGGGAAGAAATGAAGCACAGAGGAAAGTTGTCACAGTGCCAGGAAACCCAGCTAAAATTAAGTCCCTCAGACTACAGGAAACAATGGCAGCTAGGACATGAGTCAGTGGCCCAAAGGCAAGTGTACCTTGGGGCAGTAAAAGCACAGGCAAGCAGTCCACAGAATCAACAATGAGGCCTTTCTACATTCTGAGACCCACATGTTGGGTAAAATCTGAGAGGCCATGTTGGCCTCTCAGTGAGGGGCTAAATCTGCCTGCTGACTAAGGTAGCAATTAGCAATATGTATCACTTTGAAATGAACCTAGTCCAAATTGAGATCTGCTCCACATGTAAAGTACACACTGGATTTCAAACGCACTCACAAAAAAGCAAAGTACATCAACAATTTTTGTATTGATTAAATGTTAAAATGATAAGAATTTCCAAAGGTTTTTTTTTTCTTTCAACTGAGTTAGTGTCTCTTTATTCTTTTGGTAACCTCTTCCAGGGTTAACTACTTCCATTATAAGTGATGCAACATGTAAGGTTCCACTTTTCAAATGTTGGTACTGCTATGAGCATGCTCTTTCCCTTTATTACAAGTCAAAATTAAAACTTTGATTCATGTTTTTTAGATTCCAGTTGCAGAAGTAGTTTTCACTGCAGGAGTTATCTAAATACAGTCAGCTTTCTACTGGTGGACTACAATCAGGCTCTAGCTTCTCCAGGAATACTACAGGTTGGATATAGTTCAAACTTGTATTAAACTAAGAGAACTTCTCTCAAGAGAGTTTAAATGCACTTTATTTTTAGACAACCTTTTTCTTAAAAAGCAATGCCTCCACTCCAAATAACCATGGTCAAAATAAATGTGCTCAAGATGACATCAGTTCCATTTGTCTTAAGTCCTGGTGTTGTGTGGATGACAAGCAGCAGCCAGTTATGATGACAGATGATAGATCCAAAGTAACTGCCAAATTTGTTAATATTTCTCCATTTCTAAACCATCCTTAAAGAAAGTCACATATGGGGGTCACATCATCTTCACGGTAGCCCAGGAAAGCGACCATGCCATCTGGATTCATGTTTGCACCAATGAAGAACTGGTAATTTTTTAAATTATCAAGAATGTGCTGGATTTGTTCTGCAGCCCCTGTCATAAAAGGTTTTACTCTCTCTGGTCTCTGTTCTTCAAGTTTGCCTTTCATCATTTTCATGTAATCTTTGATGTACTTCTTGCATGCTTCTTTTGTGAAGCTGGTTTCCTGCAAGTGATGGTTCATGACAGACAATATCAACACCAGTGATTACCGCTTTTGGTACCTTCCCTTAGGGTCCTTCAGCGGAGGCATTTCCACCAGTGAGAGAGTCATCAATGTTATCCTCTGTCCTAATGACCATCTTGCCCTCCACATCCAGGCAGAGCCCGGGCACGATCTCCCAGATCTTGTAAATGTCGGAGAACATCTCATCATGGGTGATAAGGTCCAGTAGGTAATCTTGATTGCGACTGCGCTAGCTTAGCAGGAGCTCGGAGCTAGGCGCTAGCCCAGTGGAGCCTGAGCGGGGCTGGGAGCGGGGGCAGAGTGGGGAGTGAGCAGAAAAGCTCCACAGTATTAATCTCACTTTTTAAACCCTTTTTCACATGGACAGTATAAAATCCTAAATTATATATGACTTATATTTGTGGTCCTCACAAATACCAGCACTCAGTCCTGAGATATTAGTGGTTATAAAATCTCCAAGGTAACTCGGATGGTACTGAGCCATCCAACAGGAACTCAACTTCTGCAGAATCCAATCTTCCCTTCAAATTCATGGATAGCAATCCTTTTCTCTCATGTTCCATTTGGAGCCTGAGCTTGATGATTCTGGAGCTTTTGTCTCAACTCCATCAGTTCAAAGACTGTAGCTATCAGTTTATACCTTACCAGGAACACTGTCCCTGTGCACTTTGAGTCCATCATGTTTTAAAATAATCATAGCACAGCAACAGAGAGAGGAGACTGACTTTCCTCATGTGTTATAAAGTTGTGCTGATGGCAGCACCTGAAGAAGGGC